AATGGGGAGAGAAAAGGCATCTAATTCTGAGGCTCTGAGGAAAAGGTTGGCAGCATGAGGACCTCTATTGGGCAGGGCTCGTCAGTGCACTTCCACAATCATCTCGCCTGGGGGGACTTGAGCTTTGTGGGGGGTGGGGGGTGGAGGGACTGATGAGTGATCGATCATGTGGGGAAAAAACTGGTTAAAGGGTATTTTGTAATCAGCATTTAAAATGTAGCTTTATGCAACTGATGAAAGAGTACCTGGGTCATGGGTGTAATTTCCAGGGGGGTTAGGGGGGGCATGACCCCCCCCAATAATCATGTTTCCCCTGTAATGGGTGGAGACCTCGACCCCCCCAATGTTCCAGCCAAAATTACGCCCTTCACCTGGGCGTTAGGCAGCTAACGCTCAAGAATATTTGCTTAGGAGGATTAAGAGTTAATGGAGCAGTATGTGCTGCAACTTTGTGTTCATAAAGCTGAGCAGAAATAAAGGTCTGAAGCGCTCGTCAAACATAACAGGAAAACCGCAGAAGGCTACAAGTGAGTGGGGGCTGCTTGCAGGTGGCCAGACCCATACGTTGCAGGCTGTATAAAATGCATATGCCCCGGTTCTGGTTGATCCGGTTCTGAGAGGGGACGCAAGTTGTTTGTGTGCCATTACTAAAAGGATGTTAACGGTGGATGGTCCCTGAGCTCAGCATTAAAGCCTTGTCACAACCCAGAATACTGTATGGGACTGAAATTTCTCTGACAATCACAACTGTGTCCAGTCTGGAATCAGACTGTTCAGGTGAATCCGGTGCCAGCGATGTCTGGGTTTCGTTGGCCAATGGGCAGATTAAACCGACAGACACAACAGAGCACATGTTGACTGCAGAATAGCGAGCTAGTCACACCCACCATACTTGGAGGGATTGAAAGCTTTAACCCCCCCCAAATGTAAATGCCGTATAGGGAGGGTCGAAGGGACACCAGCACTCCCTCCCTCTGCCAGCAGAGCGGGATTTCCTGTGAATCAATCCGTGCTCAAAACCCGGAGTGGTATTCACCATAACCGGCGGCACTTAGGTGTGTAATTAGGTAGAATGTTGATTAATTATGACAAAGTGCGCGGGAGAGGAGCACTTCATAAACATCCTCTGCACATTAAGACTCTACTTTACTGAGCCGACAAAACCGGAGCTGAAATATAACAAATATCTAATTAAAGCTTTCTTATTTGAAACAAAGGGCCCGTAAGCTATCAGCCTGGCTTCTGAACTCTCTGAGCTGGGAACCTCTGACCAGGGGAGGAGGTACGGAAGGAAGCAACAGATGCTGAGGATCAGGTTCCGGCGCGCTCCAGTGACCTAGGTGGGATTGGGGGGGGGGGGGGGTGTTTCCGAGCCCACACCTGACCTAACAGATACCCCCCATTACCGAGGTCCATGCTCTTAGACTTGCGGGTCTTCATGAGCTCCAGGTGGGAGGTGTCTCCGAAGTGCTTGGTCCGCTTCTCTGACATGCTCTGGCGGCCGAAGCCCTCCCTCTGAAAGACGGCATCAGGGTCCACGTCAGGACTCAGGGAACTAGGGGGGTTGGGGTGATAGAGAGACAAGTAACAAAGAATTATGGGAAAGGTTTGTATGCTTTTGTGGACACCGTGACCCAGTAAGATAACACAGGTAGTAAAGGTTATTTTAAAGCCACCACCCCCCGGGTTAACATTTCCCATGTGTTTGTCCTTGAGCAGGTAATGTGGCATCTCAGGGAGGTGGGGGACAGCCTGGGGAAACTGGATCAGCTGACACACTGTGTTTGGACTGGGACCCCGATCACACCCCCCTTTCAGTGGCACTAAATGGGAGCCAGGGCCTTTAGTTACACTGCCCCTAAACTCTGGAACGCACTACCCATTCATATTCGTCAGTTGGATTCTGTTAACATTTTTAAATCACAACTTAAAACTTACCTCTTCAAATCTGCTTATTCATTGTAATTTTATTTATTATTATTTATTTTTTTCCTAATTTTTATGTATTGGTGATTTTATTCCATGTGTTTCTGCTGTAAGGTGTCCTTGGGTGTCTTGAAAGGCGCCATCAAATAAAATGTATTATTATTATTATTATTATTATTATTGCTGTCTGCATCTTAATGGGAAATGCACCGGGAGTGGGGGGGATGTTTGGGAGAGGAGCCAGGGTATGCCACCCACCCCCCTACGACAGACAGCACAGAATTCCACAGGGAAGCTAAGAAATTAACCAGGGGAGACTTTCCACATCACATGGGAGCGATAACAGCTGCTGGCCACAGTGACGGCCCAGATACACGGGTGGGGGGGGGCGGAAAACATAACAGTCAACATGGCACATGCGTGACCGTTATTCGAGGTGACTTCAGCAGTTGGGAAGGTCCCCCTTGGCCCTCGGGGGCAGTAACATACAAAGCTTTTCACAGTCAAGTCACCGTGAGTCACAGACACAAGCTTGTGCGCCCCCTGCTAGTTTATCAAACCAGCAGATATCTGGGTGTGGGGTTTCTGAGGACTGCACGCCATGCTGGGGGGGGGGGGGGGGGGGACATGCATATCCAGTATGTTACTCTGACCTACGGGAGGCGCTGGCTGACTCTGAGAACAGATAGTCGCAGGACATCGCCTTACATGCTCTGTGATGTCACTTCCTATGACATCGCTTTGCGTGACAGCAAACTTTAACAGTTACTTTAGTGTTTGATGAGCACACAGCGAGGCTGCGAGGCACAGGGGGCATCTTTCACTGCGGAGAGCCACTGTGTCGTGATCAGTGCCCCCCCCTTATGCTCCTATGCTCCCCCAGCACAGAAAACACCAACAGGCATCCCCAGTATGGACAATCCCCCCTCATCTCACAGCAATCAAGCGGCATCTCCGGAAAATTGCTGGGCAGTGGGGGAATGCGGGTGCACTCACCGGCCAGAGAGAGAGAGGGATGTGCAGCACGGCTGGTGGAGAGAGGGATGTGCAGCACGCCGGGTGGAAACTCCCGTGTGGGGGAAATTCACACATCGGGATCACGAGGCCCACAGAGGGAGTCGGTCCCGGGTCGCCTTTTTGAGCCTGTTGGGCTTGGGGCGAGCAGCTGAACAATGTGGGAAGGAAGCGGACGGACCCCTGACAGGGACCGTGGGGCGCTCTGGCTCCAGGGGGATGGCATGAAGCCCCGCCACTACAGGCGTGGGAATGCAGAGATTCACTAAAGGGGCTGGAGATAAGCAGCGGGTGCGCTCCCTCTGGGAGAACCAGCGCGGATTCGCATGGAAACTAAGCTGATCGTTAGCCGAGCCATTAGGCTGTAGAGCGAAGGCGTGGAATTCTGGGAAGGGATCAGGGTGATTTATCCTGGAGCCACCGTGTCTCGTCAGAGCTACCTGCGGGTCGATATAGACACGGAATGGAGGAGCAGGAGTACAGAGCGGCTGGAAGCAAATCATAGCTGCCGGAATACAGGTCAGCGGTAACCTCACGGGGCAGCAAGGTCAGGGTGCAGCTGTTAGCCAGAGCGCTACAGCCTGCATGCTAAGGGAAACACACTTTATTATCGCAGTGATAATAGTAAATAAACTGACGCTATTCCGCTTAACACTGTGCTTAACGCAGGTCGTCAAAGGGAAGGTTAAACCCAGCCTGCTGGCCACAGGGCAGGCTGCTGGGCCCTGGGATGCTCTGGATGATGGTGCCCCGCCCCTGAGCACAGATTCAGTCGTTTATCTTTCGATGGTCCTCGTCCCAGTCGCAAATTAGCCAGCGTGCCGGACCGTCCCCAAGTAAATAGTTTCCTCTTTCACAATTTTAAACATTGATTTCTGGCCTCAGAAATGATATTTTTCGCAGACAGGTCCCACTGCGAACGATTTCCCATCAGCCCCTTAATGGAAGCGGTCACAACAGTGTCCCCCCCCCCCTTGCAGAGAGGAGCAGACATCAGTGAGCGGGCTCTTCACTCATCGGGGGTTGGGGGGCGCAGAATGCTCACTAAGCAGCGACTGGCAGCTGAGAGCTCTCAATCAGACCGCACTGCTGCCGTTTCAGATGGACCAGCTTGCCACTTGATTGTGCCGGTCTGCATGCAGCATGACGCCTAGGAATGCTGATGGGGCCCCCAGGCCCCACTAATCAGGACCACCCGCCCCCGGCTGACCCCAGCCATCAGCAGTCTGTACTGCACTAGGCCTGCCTGTCCGAGGAGCCTGTACCATCTCACGTCTTGGTGAAACGCTGGTGAGATAGAAATCCATTCCTCCACCACTGCCTCTGAATTGGTTAAGCAGGTGGCCAAAGCAGGTAAGACAACAGAGACAGGGGTCTGGGGGATGTCACTGAGTCGATTAATAAACACACGACCACACCCGGTCTGACATCGATCCAAGCACGACCACACCCGGTCTGACATCAATCCAAATGCGACCACACCTGGTCTGACATTCATCCAAATGTGACCACACCCATTCTGACAGTCATCCAAATGC